GTGTTAATTTGCTCAGTGCTGAAGTAATTAGAGGGAACACAGGTTACAGGATTCTAATTTGATTAAAGGCAGTAGTTGACCTGAGAGTTTGGAGAACCACTGCTCTAGTGTATAAGATCACATGCATCAAAGTTTCAAATCCGAATATGCTTAAAAACGAAGAAAAATGCTGTTTGAAATATGCAGGGTGCAGGAACCAAGGATCGCACTTTGATGCGCATCATGGTGACCCGCTCTGAGGTGGACATGCTGGACATTCGTCAGGAATACCTGAAGAATTATGGGAAATCTCTATACACAGCCATATCTGTGAGTACCAGTGTAACGACCCCTCAAACTATGCTTTACGTTTTTGAGAAATGAAAATTGCAGCACTGTAATAATAATTGTAATCAAAAGTAATCTGCATTTACAGGGAGACACTTCAGGGGATTATAAGAAACTACTGCTGAAGCTCTGCGGTGCAAGCGATTAGAGGATACAGATGCTCGCAGACCCTCAAGAGGAAATGAAGCCACACCACGATCTCTGCACATCTTACGCCTTACTTTCATTTGCTCTCTTGCATACTTGCATGTTTTACCGTACTCAATGCAGAGGCACTTGTGTGCATATATGCTGCACGTTACATTTAATGCTCTTTTATGAATATATTTTTATTTCGAGAGTAGCCAACTATATCTTTATGTGCCTTCTACACTCAAAGCAGTGGCTTAGCGTATTATTGTATGCTATCGGATTTATGCGTTTCCTCCATGTATACTTTGTTTGCAAGTTGATTTAAGAAAATTCTGAATTAAGTATTGTGCACAGATCTGAATGCTAATTTTTTTTTTACACATTTATGTATTTTAAGTAATATACATTTACTGGGGAAAATGTGCCATGTTAGGTTTAGTCGTCAAAATGGACATTTTATAGTAAAGAAATTTATATTTACTGCATCTTATGCATAATACACTCAGTTTTTTACTATACACACTTCTTTTGTTGTAACCATTATGATTGTCGGCCTCCTCACTATTGATGATGGTGCTGTCTTTGTGTTTCTTATTTGTTTACTCTGTACAGAGCCAAACACACATATGAAATGCTAAGTAAAGAGATAATAACTCAAGCGTTCAACTTGAATTAAGTTGGTATTTCTTCAGTAGCCCGTTTGGGACTATCAGTGCTGACTTCTGCACCTCAAAACACCCTGATAAAATATTAATAACAACAGTTAAATAATTATTCCTACTAGATCAGGCATGACTCGCGGTCAAATAGCATTACAATCTACAGAATAAAGATAGGAGACTTCATATCTAAAGTGAGTTTGCCAAGGCAAAAATAAGAATCAGAATTAGACATCTGAAAATTAATAAAAAAGAATTCGACATCTGGAGCACATAATTAAATGGCATGATGAAATGAGTTCATATTTTTATAGGATATTTATACTTTTATAAAGACATTTAAAATCATGTAAAATTTAATTCAATTCAAATACAGTTAATTAATGAACATAATTATTTGTAGTTATGCCAAGGTCTGAAATATTTTGAGCAATATACTAATATATACATAGAAAGAAAGATCAATATAAGAAATACCTCATTAAATGCATGATATAGGTTAATATAAAATTATATATTTAAATTTAATATAACCTTTTTATTTGTTTTTCTAGTTATGCCAAGATCTCTATTTTTTTGTAGCTATCCAGGTTAAACTAGAGTAATATGAGATTTATCATATGTATTTTAATTTACAATTTGCTCAAAGCTGAAATTATTTCATGAAAATATTACTGCTTTAATGGTAAAACAAGTAGTCAGTAAAACTGAATGTCTTGTATACCCTCTTAGTATTTATGCCGCTTGTAATTAGCCGTGTTTTAAAAAAGCTTTGAATAGCTAAGGAGGTTCTCAGCTCACTGTGACTGAATCATGCGGTACATCCATCATCTGAAGCCGAGTCTGAAGTGTCACTGCTCCCAGATCAGCTCAAATCTACTGCCTGGTCATTTCTTCATGCCGAGGCCAAACTGCTGAGGACGGCAAGTTACATGAGCGTTATTTAGTTAGACAAGTTCATCGAGAGCACAATGTGACAGTCAGGTTTTAAATAATGGCGGGGACATTTTTAAATCATTCCCGGGAAGATTTTAGCGGAGAGATTGCAGAAGGACTCTTATTCTGTAATGTATAGTCATAGGCCTATATGTTCTTAAATGTAAAGGTATGAAAGCAAATATCTTGGATGGATGTATATAAAGAAATAAATATGTGAATATAAATATTATGAACGTGAGTCAGGATTTCAATTCAGGAGATTCTTATTTGCACCAGTAGAGGGCAGGATTGCCCTGTGCATTTAAATACAATGACAAACTATGCAACAACAACAAAAAAAGTCATTTGATAAAAGTCAGTCTATTATGGTATTATTTTAAAAAAAATTATAAAACAGAAGATCGCTACCTTTTAACATTTTTATCTCTGAAGATTGATTGCATACATTTATTTTATTTATTTATTTTCCAGAAGTAATCGTCTTGCAGCATTTAGGTTATAAATGAAATGGAAATCCATTCAAAATTAAAAACTTCAATCTTGATTATTCAGGGCTTACACATACTATCCAGAAAATCAGGTTCCACTGAGCGCAATCAACTTATATCTAACCTCTAGATAAGATACAAACCACACATCTGTTCATAAATAATAATCATGTCTTTTTTTAAAGAATCGTTTAAAATGGTTTTACCTCTGCGTGCTATTCTCTTTACAGAAAATGTTCACAAGTCTTCATAGAATTAGCTAGATAAATAACTCCATCATAGTCATTTAATCATCAATCAGTCACAACAAATGACTATTTTGTGTCTCTATGAGTTCCACAAAATATAGAGCTGATGTTCTGTATCTATCTTGATTTTTGGGGAAGTGTATAGAGACACGTGTGTTCTCTAATTGGCGGTTGTTAATTCTATCTAAGCATCAAGTGCCTTGACAGCACCCATTTATGCTTCACGTGGGAGTGCAGTGTAAAATAGCTTCAATTTAGAGCAACAGATTTGCAGTGTCACAAGGTTTGTCAGATGGGAGTAGCCAACCCTGCTTTGCTGACATGCGGTTCTTTCCATCTGTCAGCTGCATTGAAAAGATCGCAGCTTTCTCCAAATGTTTCTGCACTCTGTTAAGCCTTGCATAACATACAATCAGTTGCTGTGAGAACTGATAGTTCATTAGTTCACCGTGTCTGCATGTGTCTGACAGACATCCTTTGCACTGCTTGTTATCTACTTTAGTCCAATAAAATGACTCGATCTGGTTTAATCCCGTGTTTATCTTTCTTTGTATGTTTGAGGTAACTGATAATTGACTGGGTACTTACTAATCTGCTTTTCGTTACCATGTAAAAACCCCGACTGGCCTCTTATAGCCTGTGAACTCCACGTAACCTTTAGTTCTTCATATAAAGCGGTCTGAGCTGTACATGTGATAAGTCATCTAATGGAGATGTGTCTTTCAGCTCCTATTCTTACTGGCTTTCAGCACAATAATGTGAACTTTGAGCTTCAAAGATGGATGGTCCACAAAGCCATAAATCAGAAATGTAATGCACTCATATGGATGATATTGAAGAAACAGTGACTGAGCAGGATAAATCACTGAAATCATTTTAACATGAAATCTAGAATAAATCAATATCATTTGGAGTTTGTTCTTGTGATATGAATATCAGAAAATGTATATTTTTCTACACCCGAACAAAGGATTTTTTGTTCATATTTTTTTGTCGTGTTTTCTATTAAAAATATCAAAAAATTGTTAAATGAGGATGCATTCACTTGAGCAAATACCATTTCTACATAAATCTGTTCGATCATGTCTATCCCAAAAATCCTGGGATAGATTCACTTGAGAAGAAAAATAACCTTTTTTCTTGTTTTAAGCATTAACTTCTTAATGCTTAAAAGCATTAGCTTCTTACACTCTTAAAAATAAAGGTGCTTCAAAAGGTTCTTCAAGCGACGCCATAGAAGAACCATTTTTGGTTCCACAAAGAAGCATTCAGTCAAAGGTTCTTTAAAGAACCTTTGACTGAATGCTTCTTTGTGGAACCAAAAATGGTTCTTCTATGGCGTCGCTTGAAGAACCTTTTGAAGCACCTTTATTTTTAAGAGTGTAGACGAATGCATCTCAATTTAAGATTTTTATATATACAAAATAAGACAAAAATACTAGGAAAATCTTTTTTTGCAGTAGGTCACACTTTACAGTCATAATACTCTGTATATCTTTTTGTAAAACAAGTCTTAATATGTTATGCCATTTTGCTTAGATGAATGCATCTCAATTTAAGATTTTTAAAATATAGCTATATACTGGAAAATAAGACAGAAATACTGAAAAGGATTTTTTTTCTCCTTTTCCCTCCTTTTTTGCAGTAGGTCACACATTATTGTTAATACTCTGCATTACATACTTTTGTAAAACAGAACATACATACAGAGCAAAGCAGAACAATACTTCTAATTTGTGTGCCGTTTTTGTGGAACTGCTTGTAATTACACATAGTTCTTGTTATTATTAGGAATTAATTATATGCAGCCTGTGGAACAATGACACCTGCAGAAAATGTATCCTTTTCTATTTGGTAAAACTTGTTTAACTATGTCAGTTTAATAAAGACTGTCCAGAAATGACAGATAATATATGTATATAAGAAAGATCACATTATTTACTAATTATTCTATCATACAACAGTTTAATTTTTTTTTAACAAGGACTACATTTTACGGTACTATTAAAGTGATCTATTCATCCTGCTTTGAGACCACTTGATGATAACCTTCTTATAAACCAGCAGCCACCATGTTATAAATGTATTTATCTATTTAAATGTCTAGACTATATTGTTACACTATAATAAAATCACAAACTAGCACAGTCACATTTACTGAAAATCAACAGTCTCGTGAAAACACAGCACATGTTCCAGGGTAAAGTCCCCTTGCACTTGTTATGTCATGATGCATCATCCTCATAACCGTGCAGCCTTTTTTCCCCGAATTTTTAAACAGTAGTACACGCCCATTGAAGAAAACCAGGTGTGTCTCTGGCAAATGCCCCGCCCACTTTACCGTATATGGCCATTGTACGGGAAGTTGATTGACAGCAGGCAGCAGCTGCTGAGATACCGAGACATGGCGGAGCGTGCAGTTTGAGTAAGGAACGCCAGAAGAGTTGCGCTACTTTTGCTCACACTTGAGTCCGCACAGCGCCACATAAATGGCCAAGAAGAAACTATAAACGCAGACGAACGTGCTCTCCTCGGAAGCGCAGGTGAAAATGAACGAAGTTGCCTTGCGTAAGTGATCCGGAGAAATGTCTCGCTGTTTAGTGCAGTCAACAGCCTCAGGCAACAAACATGGCTTCTGTGCCTTTCTGCAGTTTGTAATGAAACCCCGCTTCATTAAGTCATCACATCTCATGGCGCCTTGGCTCAAATCCTACAAGTGAGCGGACAGAAAGAAGTTGCTGCTGCATTCATCGGGTTTGTGAGGGGGAATCGGCTCTACGGCCGTAGCGCGGAGCTAGCTAGTTAGCTAGGGAACTGTAGGAACTGCAATGGAGCCCAAGCACAAAGAGTTACTTCACCAGTACCACCAGAACTTACTGGAGTCCATCACGGATGCAGACCAGCTGATAGAGCTGCTGAGTAAATCGGGAAGCCTCAGCGAGCAGGAAGCCTTCGAGCTGGACCAGAACTGCTCCTCCAGCGCCGAGAAAGTGGACCAGCTCCTGAAGATGCTCATGAACAAGCAGAGCGACCATTTCCTGGAGCTCTGTGTGGCTCTGGAGAAGACATACCCTCACCTGTACTCTGCCCTCTTCGCCAACGGCGGAGGACCAGCTGATCACTCTGGTAAGATGCACTACAGACTGGACATGTTTGATTCATGATGCATCACAGATGTTTGGGGGTCTTTCTTACTTCTAGATGGAGGTGAAAGGTCTAGCAGAGGTTGACCCTGAGTATTGTAGTATTTTCAATAGACATATTGTGAGATCTGATTGCTAGAATCTGTATTTGCATGCAACATAACATGTCTTTGCATTTGCATGCATGATGAGGTCATGCTTTTGATGATTTTGCGTTTGACATGTGGCGGTGACTTGATGAAATACTGTTGCATGATGGTTGCAGCTATTTTTAGCTTTGGATCAATAGTAAAGGGAATGTGCTTGGTTGATGTGCATCACAAATACACAAGTTACAACACTTGACGTTTGGTGGTCTAACTGACTTCTAGATGGACGTGAGAGTACTAGTAGAGGGTCATTTAAAAGTGTAGAGGTTTCAAAAGACATGGTGTGTGATGCGATTGATGTAGAATCTGTATTTGCATGCATGCATAACGAGGTCATGCTTTTGGTGATTGTGCATTGGATGTTGACATGTGGCAATGACTTGATGAAATAGTGTTGCATGATGTTGCAGCTATTTTTAGCTTTGGATCAATAGTAAAGCGAACATGCTTGGTTCATGATGTGCACCACAAATACACAAGTTACAACACTTGACGTTTGGTGGTCTAACTGACTTCTAGATTCTAGATAATTTAAAAGTGAAGTGTTTTCGATAGACATAGTGTGTGATGTGATTGATGTAGAATCTGTATTTGCATGCAGCAGAACATTTCTTTGCAGCTGACCAGATGAAGTCACTCTAGCAGAAAAGATAGTGGATTGGGAGGTGAACATGTCCATCATGCTTGATTCATGATGTGGATCAGAGCACATGTTTTAAATGAATATGAACTATAGAAGCAGTTGGTCAGGATTTTTGGGATAGACATGAGTGAACAGATTTATGTAGAAATGGTATTTGTCTGCTTGCATGCAGCATGACCTTGTCTTTGTATTTGCACAGGTGATGAAGTCGTGCTTTTGATTGTTGTGTATTGGAGGTTGACGTGGTGGTGACGACTTGATTAAATGGTGTTGCAGTTATTTTTAGCTTTGGATCAATAGTCAAGTGCTGGAGTTGACCAGTTGAAGTTACTCTGGAAGGAAGGATAGAGGATTGGAAGGAAAACATGCACAGTTTGCATACATATTTAAAACTGATGTTTGGTAACTTATTTTAGATAATGATATATAGAAGCAGTTACTGGGATTTTTTGGGATATACATGGAGTGGAGCAAACTGATTTCTGTAGAAACTGTATATAGTAATTTGCACATAACATACACACTTAAAAATATTTTTCTTTATTGGCATCTATGGTGCCTTGAAGAAGAAGAAGCTTTAACACCCATAAACAAAAGGTTCCTTATCGTGGAAAAAGATTCTTTAAGAACCGTTCACTGGAAGGTTCTTTGTGGAACCCATGGTTTGAAAACCTCTGTTTAGAACCTTTATTTTTAATCCACTTGCATAGATGATGAATACATTCTTTCTGTTGAATCTGAAGAGGCAATGTGTTGAGTTATCAGTATTTTCTGTTTTGCAGTGGATGTTTCGGAGCAATGACTTAATCGTTTTATGACATAGCAAAGCTGATGCGTGTGGATTTTAGCATTGGATTGATGATAAATTGTTGGGATTGACCATGAAGGCAGACCAGCAGGGTGGAACAGGGATCTTCTGCAGGTTGAAACGTGATGTTACAGATGAGGATGAAAGTACTATTGACTGATCCTGAATGCAAAGATCTCACTAGGGTTTCTTGGTCAATGCTCTACGTCTTCAGTCTATTTCCAGCGATCAGAGCGAGGCATCATGGATCACTGAAATAAAGATTTTTCCCCTGGATTAGTCCATGGAGATGTGCTTCTGTTTCACCGCCCATGACATGGGTCATATCATTTCCATTTTAATTTTGTTCAAACCAAGTGCTTCCCAGACACACGTCTATGGAATAGGCTATGGGCTTGTTTCCATGGAAACACATTTGCCAGGCTACCATGGCAAATCGATTTGAACATACATGTGCACAGACCTGTAAGAATGGCTCTGGAGTCTTTAAAAAATGGTTTGAAAGGATTGTAGTTGATCTGATTTTGTAATGATGCAGTTGCAGATATGTGAGCTTAATGACATCTTTATTGGTACATCTGTCGTGTTTTTGAGGATGATTGTGGTGGGGTCATGAACCTCCACTCTGAGGTCTTTCTTTGGAAAGAATAGCCAACTGAAGGTGTTGATGGAAGGAAATATGAACTTGGATGATGATTTTGCCCTGAGTAACTGTTAGGGATGCGCGCGACGACTAATTTGACTGTCGTTTAAACGAAAGTTTTGTATCCGACTAGTCGACTAGTCTAAAAGCAAGAAACCCCCCAAAAGATGGTAAGAAAAAAAACCCTCTGTGCGTGCGTGTAGCATAGCCTATATTTGAAATACTTAATCTATGAGTCACTCTGTCAAGTTCCTCAATGAATTCCGCTTGCCGCACACTTGCCTCTCGTTATCATCATTTCATTTTAGGTGGTCTTTAAATAGAAATAAAAGAAGAGCATACACTCAACGTCGGCCAAAGCATAGCTTATTTATTCAAATCAGCTGGGGAAATGCAGAACAATGGAAAATCAATCAATAGCCTGACAGAATTCTTCATCTTCATATAACGTTAGCCAACATATTAAAACACAAGTCAAAAACAATAGGAAGGTTTATCAAGAAATGGCATTAAAACGTCTTTCAAAAACATACTTCGTGTAGGCTGTATTGTCTAAAAAAAAGCAATGCAACAATGCCCATTTTACTCACTCAGAACATGCGTTATTTGTTCAGTGAAATTATCAATGTGGTCTGGTGAAAGACGGGACCTGAGGCGATTAACAATAAAATCCCTGCACTTGAAAAAACGCGCTCGGCAGGAACTGAAGTCGCAGGCATGCAGAGATAACGAAAAGCAAGCCGATAGAGTTTCAGAAAGCGCCTGAATATCCCGCACCACCACCGAAGTAGTTGATCGTTAATGGAATAGACGGCGCGGATGGGATCGCAGCACCGATGGGTTGTAGTGAATGACGTGTTGACATTTGCTGGCTTTGGCCAGCCTCTGAGCTAATGCCTACGTGCCTGTGTTGAATATGGTTACGCATCGCTCCAGTAGAGTTATTGTAAGACAATTTGACATTACACAGTTTACTCAAAACTTTTCCGTTTCCTTCTAATTCAAAATAATCCCACGTCTTCTCGTCTTTCGCGTGGTCATTTTTTAACTCTCCGCAACTGACACGAAGAAAACGCATGTGAGGTCTGGGGTAAAAATGTTTCCGTCCAGATAATCTTTTAAAAATAATGTATTATTTTTCAAACGTTTTATTTTAACTTATTTAAAATGTTTTAAATGCAGTGTTAAAATTATGGTAATGTGACTGATAAAATTCTGTTTTTGTTTTTGTTTTGTTTTTCTGTCATGTAATCGACTATTGTTTTCAGTGCCGACTAGTAGGAGCTGTACCGTTTAGTCGACTAGACCCGCACATCCCTAGTAACTGTACTGTTGAGTGCTTCACATTAGGGCTGCACGATTAATCGAATGCGATTGTCATGCGCATTTTGATAGTAATGCCGGTTCTGTAATCAGCAGGAAATCATCAACACGTGCTTTCAGATGGAGCAGAATTTACTACACATAGCTGTAGTTCACTGACAAGTTACGGAAAAAAATCGCACAGACGATTTTATTGCACGATTATGAAATCAAAGAAATCGTTCGCGATAATGACAGCTGTTTGCATAGCTTCTCAGTGAACTACGGCTCTGTGAAGTAAATGCTGCTCCATCTGAAAGCATGTGAGAATACCACATTTAATAACATATTTTTACTCCAAACAGATAAATCTTCTGTTTATTCAGCTGCAGCGATAGGCATTTCCTGGGTTTCTTCTGCGAGGTGTATTTGGAGTTTCAGCGCAAGAGCGCCCTCTGGCCTTTGGTTGGAGATTTACTGCTGATCACAGAACCGTGCTTCACTGAAAGATACGCATGACAATCACAGCTTCTGTCGAATCGCGATCTCGATTCCATTTCTATTTATCGTGCAGCCCTACATCACATACTATTGTGGTGGTCGTTTCATTCTTTCAGAACCCTTGGTGAAACCATATTTTTGGCAGTAACCATGTTTATTCACATTGCAAGTGAACCTGTATTAAATGTAGCCTTGAGCCTGAGAGTTTGTATTTGTACTTTGTAGTTTTGGTCATGGTTTTGAGAATGAAGATGTCACGCAACCTGCCCATTTCGCCATTATGCACAGATTACACTACCGTTTAAACGTTAAGAGTCAGAAATTAAATTAAATTCTTTTCTTTCTGTTCTTTTCTTTTCTAAAAGAAATTAACTTTTTATTTAGCAAGGAAGCAAACTGATGATCAAAAGTGGTAAGCTATTTATAATGTTACAAAAGATATCTGTTCTTCAAAGTTTCCATAAAAATATCAAGTAGCACTACTGTTTTCAAAATCATCACAAGATTAATAATAAGAAATGTTTCTTGACCACCAAATCAGCATATTAAGTGATTTTTGAAGATTGTTCAAATAAACTGAATGAGCATGTATATTTAGATTACATTTGATTACAGATATATTGGTACCATATCTTTTATTTATTTATTTATTTATTAATTTGTCAAAAAAGAAAAACTGAAAAAAAAAATTGATTGAAAGAAAATTGATTCATATTTTTATATGTAATATTTAGCAAATCTTAAATTGAATATGCATTTTTCATGCTTTACATTTATAATGTTTTGATGCCTAAATTCACTTGCAGCATTTCAAATGACAGATTTATTTATTTTTCTCCTTTTGACAGAACGACATCTGTCTAATTTGGCTTCTACTAAGTGACAGATGAATTTGTATAAAAATCAAATGGAAACTTGATTTTGACGTCAACAACAA